CCCCCCCCAAAATGCTGAAGTCTGTAAATCAAGACAATCAACCTTTTCCTCCTCTCATGGAATTACGGTGGTAGTCTGAACCAGCTCTTATCCAGATTGGTGGATAACACGCAAATGAGAAGCACAGTAACTATACTTGCTGACAAATGTAAGAAAGAAATCCTCTCTTTTTTATTTTACCTGATGCCAAACCAGTTAGTGTGACTACCAGCCATCCTGACCATGCATCGTACAAACTTTTTGTCATCTCCCATGCTGATTCTTTCTTCTTGCTGTTAATCTGCAAGAGAAATCATTATGTATACTTGTATGTGTTTCTGTAATATGAATAGGAGGGAAAAAGCAAGTGTGACATACAACCTGCACGATGCAAGCTGCAGGCAAATATACCCTCTCTTTAAACTACAAGCATTCTCCTTGTATTTAACATGTTAGATGGATCAGCTTGGTTATTCAGGCATCAAACAACTGACAGAGGAAAGTAAATCTGCTTAATTTACAGAACTAAAACCCAGGAAATGCATTATTAGGATAAATGAATACTTTCTACGATACACATCTAAAGCATGTAATTGTAAAATCATTTCTCTCCTAAATCTTAAATTATTTTTTGTTGAACCTCAAATAAACTGTTAGTATACTCCTAATAAGCTATTCCATATAATTCAAATTCCTAAACTTCCTTTTCAAATATAAACGTATTTATCTTAAGACTAAAAACAAAAATAAAACAAACTCAAAACCTGGATAACTACCCTATAATACTTCTAGATAACTACTGCTAACGACATCTTAAGTTATTATACTGAAAAAATAGTAATTCTTATTTCAGCCTTATTTCCTTCACTTTGTGCACTTAGCAGAAATTTGTGCATAACTCATTTTATGATTAAACCTTCATTACATAATTGGATCCTGTTCTTATGATGTTTTTCATATTGTAAAAAGAGGGAGAAAGTACGTGCAACAAACGGGAAAAAACAAACAACAACAAAAAAACAAGGAAGCACAGTACTAGACAAGGAAATCTAGAAAAAAAATACCACCCCTAAAGCAAATAAATGTATATTATAGCTCCCTCTACATTTGTGAGATTCTCAAACTTTTTTTTTTTTAAATTAAAAAAAGTTGTTTCTACAGTAGCCTGTCTTTCACAACCTTCATGAACTAGTACTCATTCCTTCTTCTTTCTACATCTTTGATTACATGTCTCCTATCATTTAGGGCATATTTCTAAATTTCACAGTAGTTCTGTGACTAAGAACTGTGAACTGTCTTGTCTGACTTTTCTGTTCTCAGACATTAAAATGAGCAAAAGCTGTGAGACTTCATCCTGATAAACTATTTCCAGGTGTGATCTGCCAGGATTTGGTCAGGCCCAGCATTCTATCCAATGTCATCTCCACTAGACACATCTGCACTGTAAAGATGGCATTATATTAATTACTGCCTAGACATCACATTATGAAATTAAGTATAACATGGAAAACACCTTCTTGCTTTTCATTAAAAGCATTCAAACAAGGTACGTGTTCTCAGACATACTGTCCAAGGACCTCTTTTCCTTAGAAAAGCAATGGTGGATGTTTTGTTTTTTAAACTAGTGTAAGATTACCTTTTTAACCATGTCAAAGTAAATCAGCATATACATCCTACATTTGCTTCCAGTAAGTTAAAAACAGAGTTTCCAAAGAAAGCAGAATAATGTTACAGTGCTGTACGTGAAGGAACCTCTCCCCTGGCCCTTTCATACTATTACAATTAATTTTTAACTATTCATTTTGACCAGTTAAAAATATTTTAGGAGAAATCACATCTCCAGATCTGCTCTGTTTTTAAGGTTCATTATTGTAAGCACCCTAAAAGTTTGGCAGTAATGCTCTAAATAGCATATTTCCTCCTAAAATGCTATTGAACAAATCTGTTACATGAATGACTGTAGCCAGCACCTTAGTGACTAATACAACTAGAGTCTGTTTCATGAAAGAACTTGTTGCAGAGCATGCTGAAAAGATGAACAGCCTAAACCTTGAAGATCTGAAGAAATCAACAGAAAAGAGGAGAGAAGCAAGGTCTGTGACGGAAGAGTGGAAAGGACATTTACCATACATACTGAGACTAATTTTTGTTAAGCATATATACACTGCTACGTGTTTTAGATACGAGAATTTTAACTTTCCACAATCCAAACAACCACAGCACTACATAGCAGTAGCACAGATACACCTGTGTCAGTGTAAAAGCAATATACATCAGTGTTCACTTTTCAGTACCACCATAAGCACTACTATACTATTACAAATATATCTACACTAGAAAATAGCCTGAAATACACCAGCATGCAAAAAAGGCAGTATTTTAAAAATGTCATTTGGGTGACACTGAACTATTCCCACTCTATTAAATTACTGTTTCCTTTCCAAGTTATCACACTGTTGCAGGACTGCAGGTATCAGTGAAACAATGATTTTTTAATAGCATTCAAGTAGTTCTAGCTGATGTAACTACTAAAAAATTTAAAGTATGCATATATTTGTACGCATTAGTAGATCAGACCTTAATTCCAACATCCAACAAAAACTATTTTCTAAGTACTGTTATTTATCACAAGTACCCGTCTATGCCTTTCTCTGTCTTTGCACTTCTCTCGAACCCAGTCAATGGTATGGAAGTCATCGTATGTTCCTACTCCAGGAATTGGTTCATCCAGAAGATCCAGTAAATGTGTTGAACTGTTGATACTTCCTCCATTTGTCATTGTATAATGAGTTCCTGTGGGAGAGGAAAGAGCAGAATGAATTAATTCTGCAATAAATGAAGTATTCTAACGTTCACAACACTACAGCATATAAAATTTCTTAACTAGTAATTAATACACTTCCCATAATATGCATATTTTACTTTATTTAGGTCTCTCAGTGTTGCATGTCACTATTTTTTTCTGTCACTCATCTGTACATTAAATTTGCACATTAGTGACTTTGTATTTCCATTGGTTAAATATGAATGTACAAGTCAAATTGTTCTGCTTTGTGTGCAGACTCTAGAGCAACTTCAATAGAACAAAGTGGAAAAAATGAGCAGCTTTAACACACATTTAGCTTGAAGTTTATTTCAGTTTATGAACTACAAGAGGAACATCTGACTGTAAGAAAACAAAGCCAGATGATTAAAAGTCCACAGCACTTCCATAAGTTACGAGTTATTTTTAAATATATATACTACTGATTACCAATCTCTCCTACATGTTTAAACCAAACCTAAAATACATTACAAACCGCTTATCTGTGCAGCTAAAAAGTAACAGAAAGCCAAGCAATACTTCTTTATTTCATGTAACTCACAGAACAGCCCCCAGTCATGAGAAGTTGGAAGTACTGTATAAAAATGTCTTCTTCTAATCTGTCATTCCTATCTAGTTCCTTCACAAGCAGCTTGCATAGCAACATCCCCAACAGTATTTCTTTCAGTGATCAAGAGCAAGAGAAGTACTGAGAAGTTTTCCCTCTTCAAAAGTGATCAAGAAAGTTTTTTTTTTAAACTTTCAAATGTCACCAACTCTTTAATATCTTGGGTTTTTTTCAGTTCCTGCAGTACAGAACTGAAATATAATTTTCTGATGGATGGTTGCCTAAATATAGCACGGCCACCATTTGTCCACCCACACAAATTGCTTCTGTAACAGTAATTGCTATAAGGGGAACATTTATAATGAGGTTAATATAGATAGTGATTTAAAGAGTGATTACTCTCATTTATTTGACTAAGAATAAAATAATTTGGCCAACAGCATGTGGCGTACCACAATAATCTCTGTTCTTAAAGAAGTAGACCCAAGCTGGCCAAGACTTCTATCAGACAGCTACTAGAACGCATTTCACTAGACTGACACTGGGATGGTTAGGTAGGTGGGGGTTTTTTTGAGTTGGGGTTTCTTGTTTCGTTGGTTTTTTTGAGGTTTTTTTTTTATTGCAGGTTCAGCTTCTGGGTCTGGTCAGCAGAAGTTTTCAATTTATCAAAAAAAAGAAGTCTTCAAAGGGCCTACCTGTAAACTTCCAAACACTACAAATCTCAGTCCTCAGTTCTCATCAACTGACAGTCAGACTTATACATAGGTAAAATATGCTTGTTCCCTTCAAATTTGTGAAGTCTGAGACCTAGCAGAAGCAGTGTGACACCTTCCGTTACACTCAGACCCAAAGGCGTGCCTCAGCCATCTATTGCTTGAGGGGTCTCGTTTATGTCTGTTTATTTGGATGTTTTCTTAGTGGTAAAAGACAACACACAAGAAAATAATACAAAAATCCTATTAAGACAAAATGCAATCAAAAATTTTCAAAATACACAAACTACTCATTACATATACACATTACATATAGAAAAGCTTAAAATTCTATAAAAATATTACCTTTTTTTTTTAAATCCTCAAGTAAAAGAAGAGAATGCAAATACAGAAGAATTCCTCAACAATGCCAATACCATCCTCTCATGCTAGCCTGGCTGCAAACTTTCTTAAAACTGTTTTTTTCCCCAGTCTATTCCATATTAAGTTCTCCCTCACCTATTCAACATACCTAAGCCCTGTAAATCTCTTCCCAAAGCTGCTGCTAGTCTCTCTTAAGGCAGATGTAAAGAAATATTATCTATGCTTCCATTAATAAAAGGCTAACAACAACAAATTAAAATCAGACTTGCTAGTAGAGGTGATTGTGAAAACCTTGCTTTAGGAAAAGGGATTCAATTCTCTTGCCATTTCCAATTCTCATATCTAGAAAGGAAGTGTAAGATCCATGTCTGGGTAGCTGAAAGGGCAAGCTGATCTCATGGAAAAGGCAGTAACAAAATTCACACTGTAATGATTAGTTTAGCTCTCAAAATTAAGAGAGCAACAGATAATGAAAATATTTATTTTTACATTAAATTAACCTCCTTTGCAAAGCAAGGGGACATAAATTAAATTCAGCCACAGTTTAATTATTAACCTCCTGCAAAGTTACAATGTGATCAAGCAGTTTCCTGAACCTGAGTGATCACAGTAGGACAAAAGCATGCCTTTGCTCCAGGGGAGTTGGTTTTATGCCCTGCTATATATGAAGCAATATGAAGTTATAAGGAGCTATGCCACACAAAGTAAAGGAGAGTTGAGAGTTATAAATGCACCAAAACCAGTAACAGATGATTTTATGCATATCACAAGGTGCTAAATTGGAATTCTCTGCAGGGAAACCATGAGGGATGGCACCATACTCATTACACTAGACCCCAAGCAGAACTCGGAGTAGGCTACAAAGAATGGTCATTGCCTGCACACAATAAAAATCCCACCAAACCTACGTCAGGCTCCTACTTTGCCAGCATTCACTGGCACAATAAATACTGAAATGTAATATAAATGAATACTGTATGATAGGGAGGACATACAGAAGAAGATGTGAAGCTGAAGAGTTGGTTTTGTTGAATACAGATCTCCCATGAACACTTGATGCAGCTGAACAGTTGTACCAAGTGAGAACAGGCAGCAGCGATACCCTGCATTAGCCTGTGGTAGAAAAGCTGCTCTATAGAGGACCACAAAGAGGACAACTGCACAAAATCTGATGCTCTGTATCTGAGATAAGCAAGTCTGACAGTAGTGGGAGAGGACATTCTCTGGCTAGTATTATGATTTATGTAACATATACCTATTCTAAAGAATTTAAAGAAATATACCCTTACCAATACTCAACCAGGACAAGTTGTTAACAGTAATACACTGTACTTTGGGACACCTGACCAGAACGAGGTACAGCAAAAACAAATAAAAATGCTACATGGAAAAAACTGGAATAAGAGAAGTAGATTCCAACACCGTAAAAAAGGTCTCATCTCTGAAGGGGTGAGGGGTTTTTGTTTGGTTGGGTTTTTTGTTTGTTTGTTTTTTTAAGTGAGAATGAAAAAATACAATCCCAAATTGCTTGAGAAGTCACTATGGCTGACAGAAAAAGCAGTCCTTACCATACTGCTCTCCTTCATTTCTCTCTGAACAGGAAGTTATACTGCATGGCTGTTCGCTCCCAACACTGATCCAACCTACTGCTTTGCTTAGCTAGTCCCTTCTGACAGAAAGCAGGAACAAAGAAATTTGAGAACTAATATTTTGCTACTCATACAAGTTGTTTTACACATTACAGATTCCTCCTTGTGTCATATCCCCTCTGAGGCAAGGAATATCTCTTCTTTCATATGCTACATATATGGCTCATACAAGCAGTCTTGAATCTTGATTGATGTTGGAACTATGACAACTATGACAAAAAGCTGATTTATGTAAATTACACATAGTATTTTTCAGGTGCCATGCACAACATTTTCAAAGGCTTCCTCACCTCCTCTAATAGTGATCCCATACCCCCTCGGCCTTTTGCAACTCAGTAGATTTCTTTCAGATCTGAAAGCAACCCTGAGCAACATGTAGCTGGTGAAAAGTCATGGGTTTTTTAAAAGAAAATACCTGTTAAATTTTTAGTTAATTCATTTAAAAAGGAAAAGATCACATCAGCAAGGACTAGTACCCGTAAAACACAAGCAGACCATTACTGACTTCACTACGGTACAGTTCAAAAATTTTCAAGATAAAACGTTTTAAAACACTTAATAAATCAAAACATGAGTTGTCAACATTCATATGCTGTTGCATTTTTCACTTCACAAATCTCTCGGAACAAGTCCCCGGTGAAGGAACCCAGTAGATCATAATTCAGGGTCCTGCTATCCTGTCCCTGGTATGAAGAAATGGACAGCCAGTGGACCTGGGTTGTCACTTTTTCTTAGTGTTCTCCCTTCCAGGGAGGCAGTGGGTTCCAGTTTCCACACTCTACGAGTTAAAAATCCCACTGGAAGTACACTTAAAACACCCTGAGTTAAAGACATGAGGTAGCTGGTGCTTCACAGTTACCTAAACACAGTTTCAGGCAAAAAAGGGGTTTTGCAACATACTTGATGCTCCTGATTCCTGCATAACTCTTCAACAATCCTTCCCAACTCTTTCCTTGTGCACAGTGTTCCTTCTTTTCTCATAAAAATAATGAGAAGAGAAACATCAAGATTTAAAACAAATACTGCACCCTAGGTAATCAAACAGTGCACGATAGATTTTTATGGGGTTCTCTACCCATATGATTATCTGAACAATTACCCAATATCACCTAAAGAACAAATCCACACAGCTACAGCCTCCACAGAGAATAAAGTACAGAACTGACACATGAGCAGGCTCAAGTGGGTGGTTAACAGAGTTAACAAGAGATCATAATTTTATGATAAAGTTTAAGACCCCTTCTATATGCTATACAGTATATAACATACATCTTCTGAATGCACATCACAAAATGCACACCGTTCTCTCTCAAACTGAGTATATATCAGTCGAGGGAGGTGATTCTCCCCCTCTACTCCACTCTCATAAGGCCCGACCTGGAGTACGGCATCCAGTTCTGGAGCCCCCAACACAAGAGAGACATGGAGCAATTAGAACAAGTCCAGAGGAGGCCACGAGGATGATACGAGGGCTGGAGCATCTCTGCTATGAGGACAGGCTGAGAGAGTTGGGGCTGTTCAGCCTGGAGAAGAGAAGGCTCCAGGGAGATCTTATAGTGGCCTTCCAGTACCTGAAGGGGCCTACAGGAAAGCTGGGGAGGGACTTTTCATAAGGGCAGTTAATGACAGAACAAGGGGAAATGGGTTTAAGCTGAAAGAGGGGAGGTTTAGATTAGATATTAGGAAGAAATTCTTTC